TTGAAATCTTCCAGTGCTGTATGGATGCTGATTAATCCATTTGCTTAGATCCAGTAACGTCTTGCCTTTAATGAAACGATGCCACTAAGTTGGGGCATTTATATATTTAAAATCTGTTATCTCTTTCTTGTTGAGTGTGCCTTCATCATTTATATAACTGACCCTCTTTTGTCTTTCACTACCTTTTGTTGGTTTAAACAACTAAATCGTCTGAATTAAACTGCCATGGCCAGCCTTCTTTTGGCTTCCACTGCCTGGAATACTGATTCTCCACCCTTTTTATTTTAGGTCTCATACTGCTCTTTGCAGTTAGTGTGTTCGTGAAGACAGGCATATACTTGGCCTGTATTTTCTTTCCATTCAGCAGCCTATTCTCTTGCAGTGGAGAGTTTAAAGCCATTCCTTTATTGACGAGAACTGAAGTAACGGTACGATTACTGTTCATTCTGTGGGTTGATGTTGATTGCTTTGATTTCTCTCCTTGAGCCATTGTATATGTTGGCTTTCAATCTTTTGCGTTGTTGTCTTTTATAATTCGTGAGTGTTATTGTATGGTGTTCGTCGCGTAACACTGTTTGAGTACTTCTTGTAGGCGCTGGTCTTGTCTTGGTGAATTCTCTGAGACTTTGCTTGTCTGAGAATGTCTTATTTCCTCCTTCATATATTAAGCTATTTTGCAAGGGAAAAGATTCTAGGGTGGGCATTGTTTGTTTCAGAAGAGTGAGAATGGGGCCCCAGTCTTTCCTTGTTATAAATCTTATTAGAGAAGTCGTGTTATTCGAACTGGCTTCCCTTGTATGTCACTTTGCTTCTTTCATCTTAGAAGGCTCTTTAGTTTGATATTTTGGTCATTCTGATGACTGCATGTCATGACATCTTCCTGGTTTGATTGAATCTCCCGGGGATCTCTGAGCTTCTTTGAACTTGTCATATGGAGATTGTTGAGGAAGCCTGAGAAATTTCTCTATTAACTATCTCATAGCTTCCAACCTTGGGGTGTTGTCCTCTTCCCCTTCTGGTACCCTATGACCCTCAACATTTAGTTTCTTCCATAATCCCAACCACTCTCGTTGTAGCTTTGTCCTTCTCCTTGTTCTCCTGCTCTATCTCTGTGATGGTTTTATTCTAGTTGGGGGTGTTATGTTCAATTCTGGACGATTCTTCTTCGTTCTGAGCTATCCTGTTTCTGAAATTTGTCCACTGTATTTTGTAGTTCCCTGAATTGATTCTTTCATTTCAGGAGTTCGGTTAAACTTCTCTTCATTGTGTCTATATTCTTTAGTGAACTTTTGTTCTAGATCCTGGAGACTTTTTGTAGTTTCTTTGTGTTGGTTATTGAGTTGTTGTTGCAGGTCGGTGAGCGTTCTTATGATCCACATACGAAATTCCTCTTCTGTCATTTTGGTTGCCTGATTTGAGTTGGTGTCCATTCTAGGGGGCTGGTGCCTCTTTGGGGGTATGTTTTCCGTTTGGTTCTTCATATTTCCTGAGTTCCTTCGCTGATTTCTTCCCATGTCGATCAGTTGTTGTTTCTTTCCTTTATGTTTTTGTTGGGTATTCACACGCCTTGTTTAGTTCTGAGCCGTTAGGTGGTGTCTGTGGGTGAGATTCGACCACTCCCTGTATAATGAGTTAGTGGGTGCTGTGAAAAGGCTGTGCAGGATGCCATCCCTGTCAGTAGGTGGCGCTTGCTTGGAGGAACAGGCTATACTGTTGATTTTGTGTCCTGTTATCAGCTCTTGTTCTGGGCGGAGCTGGGTTGGGTAAGCCTGCCCTCAGGCACCACCAATGCTGTTAGCAGGGGTCAAAGTTCTGTTCTCTGCTTCCAGGAAAAGCT